AGTATTTATTTACACTTTCAGCTGTACAAAAATAGCTAAAAAGAGGACTTGGTTGACAATATTTCTTAAACATTCATAATCCATACAATCTTACAAAAAACTTTCCATTATCCTAACCCGACTAGTCGCAATTATATTCTATTTAATCTCATCTTATCCTATTCTACTTGTACAATTATCACAGTTTCGTAATTACTAAATTTAAACCACAGCCTATTTAACACAAGTCATCTATCCTTTATCTATCCTTAGCATATTTTATTACTAATTCCTTCGCCTTCCTTTAGTCCTCACCTTTTTTCTTATTTGCTTTTTCTTTTTCCTTTTCTGAAAAAGCAAATGTAATTGTATTGTAATCGTATTGTAAATGTAATTGTATTTTATGTATGATATGTGTAATTGTAATAAAAGAATTGTGCTAGAAAAAAGAAATTTTAAACTTGTAAAATAAAACTGTTACTTATAAATGTAATTGTAATTGTATTGTATATATGCTATTGTAATTGTAATAAAATAATTGTGCTGTAGAAAAAAATTATTAAACTTATAAAATAAAACTGCTGTTTATTATTATCATTTCCATTATAATATTATTTCATTATTATTTAAATTTATTAGATATTTTAATCAACATTGATAATGCGACGATAGACGAGTGGAAGCTATTAGAAGAATTTGAAAAAGACATAGCACGCCAAAAAATTGAATCTGAGGCTTTAATATACGTGGCACGTTTCGTCGCGCATCGATTTCGCTGTACATTTCGTCACCTTGGTCTACCTACTGTAGAAATGCAACCTCTCGATGAACATCATTGGTTTATCAAGAGAAAATCTTATTTATCCGTCTAAAGATTTCCAAGCTGTTGCCAAAATTATGGAAGAGGAATTTCTAAAATTTCATGGCAACAGTTTCAATAAAAAATCTGGAATATTCGATGAGATCACAGATTGTGTTATCCTTAGGATAAATAAAGATGTATTTCCGCAAGTAGTAATTCACTGCTTAGTAAGAACTAGGACATACTTCCGTTTGCGAAACATAAATTTAAAAATTAAGGAGGAAAATATTTTAAAAAGGAGAAAAAATACAAAATAAAACATATGTAACAAAATTGCAACATAATTCATTTTTATTATATTAAAATTATTTTATTGTTATACATATTTTATACATTTATTTCTTTTTAATAAAATATAACAGTTACTTTCCATTTACACCGATTCTCAAACTTGATTCACAAACTTGTTTTAAAATTCGCGGCTTGCAATGCCGCTCACGTTTGATTGGTCGAAATATTCTAAGTTACCGCCCATCTCCTCCATTATGCGCAATGCTTCACCTTTATAATTCCACCATGGTGGAAATATATGTATAAGGTGAAGCAATCTGATGGATGCGCAGTAGCATAAAAGTAGTGGGGAACGGTGAACCAATAGCGTGAAGCGGCGGCGCAGGGGTCTAATGCGCAGTAGCATAAAAGTAGTGAGGAACGGTGAACCAATCAAATATACCCGGTGATACAAAATTCAGGGTCGGCACATGATATGTTGCATGGGAAGATTCAAAGTTGCAGAAGTGATGAATATCGAATTCATTGCATTTCATGGCAATTATTTCAGTGTCGAAGTAAAATTTTTGATAAGTTAACCGAAATAGTGTGTAAAAAGATAAAGTATACATTTCTCTCTCCGAGAGAGGTTGTTGCAAGTTTAGTAGTACTAACAAGAACGTACACATATCAGATTAAAACAAAAAAATAAGATGATAACAATGACTAATGGTCAAAAAAATAAGAAAAAAAATTCAAACATATTTGTAACATTATTCTTTGATACCTGTTACTTGTTTACTTTAGATTTGTATTTTATTCATTTATTTCAGTTACATTTGTTTATTTTCTTTATATTATATAATTTCTTAATTGCTATTTACTATTTTAAAATTGCAATTTTTAACGTTATATTAATAAATATGAATAATTTTTAATATAAATACGGTGTTTTTATTTCCAAGTAACTTATAACATTTAAAATTAACGCGTTACCTCATCGGGCAAATTTGATTGGTTAAAATTTTAAGCAGCCGCCATTATGCGCATTGTTTCACCTTATATATTTCCACCATGTAATTTCACCATGTACATACAATATATTACAATACATTAAATTCTATAGTCTAAAGTGTCAGAGCCCCAACACACACTTTTGCATAATGCATAAAGTAGTGACCCTCTAATAAGAGTCTGGCCACCTTCTCCCCGGTTTGTGATTGGTCCGATATTTATCATCCATTCCCGCAAATTTCTTTAAATTTATAAATTGTAAAAATTAATAAATTCGTAAAAATTAAAGTAGAATCAATTACAATTTTTATTTTTATTATTATTTAACTTATATTAACATTATTAAATATTTTCTATAAAAACTTTTATGTAAAAAAAACGTTGCAATATGTCTTTCATAAAATAAAAACAAC